AGGTGCATTATTACCGGGTTAGATTTGACAATTCCGAAAACCCGAACTGTACTTCACCCTGACCTTAACCTAGATATATATTGTCGCACACAGAGAACTGCCCAGAGTACTGTGGGCAGAAAGGGCCAAAAGGACAAGAAACCGAGACTGTTTCACTGGACCATGCACTTATTTCGAGAATGAGAGGGACTGTTGGGCTCAGGGCTGGATTTCAACCCAACGCCTCCTCGTGAAGTTTAGCAAACCCGCACATGTCAGATAAGTCTTTAATTTGCCCAGCACACCTCTCTCTCGAGTTCTGACGTGATTTTCGTTTGGGTGAGGCCATTACGGTCTGGGACAGAGGCAGGTCGACAAAGTGCAAAGCTGGGTTCCGTTTCACACTAGTTTTTCATACATGAAGTTGGGCGGTATGAGCACCGCACCACACTATTTTCCCGCTGGAAGAGTGCAGAGTGACGGTCCCATCATAGCCAACGAGATACTACTGAAGTTAACAGCATCATTTTCAGGTCTAACGTATGCATCGTGCGTAGGGGGGGCTGCAGGCGCCCAGTTACTCGCAACAGCCCGATCGAAAATTCAGGAGTGAGTAATCAATTTCAATTTGGTTCGGACTTTGAAGTGACATCGAGTCTGTGATGCATTCAATAAAGTTTGTTTGAGGGTAAGATTGCTGAAGCTGTTTGAAGTCGAGCACATTCCTAAAAGTGACACGAAACGGGGGGGAAATAACAACAAAGCAGTTGCCCAAAAAGGTAAATGGACTTACCGCTGCATCGGGCACGGAAAGCCAGTCTATGCCGTAGTAAGGTCCTATGGACTTTAAAGAGTGTGAAACAACAAGGAAACAACAACTGCAAGGGTAAACGTGCAAAACTCGCGGGCGAGGACTGTGAAACAACAAGGAAACAACAACTGCAAGGGTAAATGCGCAAAACTCGTGGGCGAGGAGTGTGAAACAGCAAGGAAACAAACTGCAAGCGGAAAAGTGCAAAACTCGTAGAAGAATGCCACAGAGAATGAGGTAAGAGTATTGGACACGCCGACAGTTACAGAAAACAAAACACAGAGAGGGGCGCAGTAGAACCAAAATGACGAAAGTGAAATTTGAAAAAGCATGAAAAAGAAAGCCTTTTTTTCCCCTTATCTTAAGAAAAGGAAAAAGGGGATGGCCCCTACCGTTACTGCATTCATCGGAGTCCATCAGAATTCGGAAAGCATGAAGAAAGTTCACGAGCTACTAACCAATGAATTTTTTTTATCGCCGTGGCAATTAAGACGTGAAAGCTCACGGACTAGAGACACCACCTTCTGCTCATTAGCGAGAACAGGTTGACCAACGCCACCTCCTAAAACATGAGAATCTGAATAGAGGATTTTTTGAGGTCCAAAACTCTCAACAACACATTGAATGTGACCTTGCACCATGCAACCTGTACCAGGCAAGCCTCTCTCTCTTCGGTTCATTGTTAGTCCCAGAGAAATCTCAAGGGACAGTGAGCATCATCATCTGCACCATCACCATCATCTTCAAAACTATTTCACTGAGAAAACATCTCAAGGACATTGTTATCATCATCTTCATCATCGCCATCCATGCATAATTGACATCGTCTTCAAATATATTTCACTATGCACAACTACATGGAAGACTGGCAACTGAGTAAGGAGGCTATCTCGGCAAGCGTCATGATGACAGTAGTTCGTACCAGCTCTTCCTTCAGTGGATTACTCCCAGTCAGCTCCTGCTGCACTGCAACCAGCCTCACCAACTCTTGAACCTGCAGATCAAACATCATCCTCTGCCTCTGCAGCAACTGCACAAGGGCAGTGCCCTTCTCTGTGAGCAAGCCATCTTCGCCCGCAGGAGGAGGGATGCTGAAGGAGGGGGAGCACTGTTGGACGGTCATCGTCTCGACTTTGCCACGTCAGCACTTACAGACAGCCAGCGCAAAATAGCATCTCTCTTCTGGAGCTCTTTCGCAGGAGACGAGACCGATGACACGTCTTCGCATGCTCTCTCTCAATCCACCTCCTTCCAACGCCCCTCAAACCTCGTCATTCAACAACGGCTTCTCCTCCCCATCTTCCCCAAACTGCCTCCTACACAATTGCCTACAAGCCCCAAGCACTGTGCACCGCCAACTCCGCTCTCACGAATTTCCGCTTCACAACCGCACTCTGCAACCTGGTCCACAGCTGGTCCACAGACACCTTACAGTTAGGACCCCCCCCAAACCCAGTCGTCCATGAACAAAACACGCCGAGCCTGTTTTCACATACCTTACAGCTCGGAACACACTCCATCCGGACCTGTTTTCACAAACAGGAAATTTGCATTTCGCCGAGCCTGAAATCTAGACCGGTGCCGCCGTGAGGAAAAATAGTTGGGGTACCCTTCCCCACCAAACCTCTGCGGGGCCTGGGCACCATAGATATAGGCCCGGCACTTGGTGACAAGAAAAATGAACAGTGCAGGGGCTGTTGGAGTGGTGAGGTGGGTTTAAGAGAGAGGAAGTCCTCACGACGACCACCACAAACCAACGAACACGACAGACCCACAGATAACAGCAATCAACCACAGCCAAAAGCCACCACACGCCAACCAGCCACTCAAAACCAGCAAACATCAGTTCATCCACTGACTGTGGACCCCAACAAACCCCAACAAACACAAATCAGCAACCACTTCCTCACTTAGCCACCTTCTCCACCATACCCCTGCAAATAAACAAGCCTCAGATCATCTACTACATCCATGCCGCCTCCGTAAGAACGGTCACAGAATGGGACATAACCAAAAGAATATGCAGAAACAAACAACAGTTGGACATAACCAAACAAATATGCAGAAACAAACAACAGTTAAACAAAAAGGCAAAAAGGAATGTGCGCGCCTGTGTGCATGTGCCTGTGTGATGTTTCCACGAACTTTGGCGGCCAACAAACAACACAAGAACAAAAGTCAGGCCAGGGAAAACAATACCAGATTCAGTATCGAAACTAGATATAGGTGAATGGGCTCACGGCAGAGGAACGAGTCATCCATTCACCCATTATTTCACCCTATTCACTTCTGCTCTCATCCATCCTTTCTGCCCATCTGGCGACAGCACATCCAACCACTTGAGGGGGGGAAATAGAGGTCACAGGAAAGGCGATTGAGGAAGGAATCTCTCCGACAGCATATGAGAGCGCAGTCTCTAATCGAGGAGGTGGGTTTCTACTGCTTTTCAGGGGCTTCCTCATGTTATCATCGGCTGATAGCACGGTCATCAAGAAATAAGGTGCATCCAGAATTGACAAGGTCGCATCCGTAGTGGTGGATTCCAGATCATCAGCAACAATGCCACATCATCAGAGCCGCAATGACTGTCAGCGCTGGAGAGAGGGGAATCAGTTGACAGGAAGTCAGAGCACATGATGTCCAATTAGGATCCAGACCGTACAAAAGCACAGAGATGAAGAGTGAGAAAGAGAGAGAGGAGAGGAGAGGAGAGAGACGTTAAGAACAGCCCAAGGGAAGGTATGAAGAACAGAGAGAGAGAGAAAGGGAAAGAGAGGAAAAGGGCATACGCCGTTAACGCAGTGCCCAATTTACATCGATGAATTCACTCTCTGCCTCCAGGTGCCCATGATGGCTTTGGGATGGTCATGAATGCTGTTTGTTGTATTGTTTAAGAGAGAATTTTGGTGCCGCGAGCGGGCAAAGGGGGGTGGAGGAGGGGGGAGGTCATGAATGGTGTTTGTTCTATTGTGTAAGGGATGATTTTGGTGCCGACAGTGAGCAAAAAGGGGGGTGGGGGGAGGGCAGAGGGGGGAGGGGCGGGTGGGATGATTATTCTGTGTGCCTGAATATTGCTTGAGTTGCCAGTGAAACATCACCATAGGGCTTATTCTGTGTGCGTGAATATGCTTGGGAGTGTTGCTGATGAAAGTTCACAGTAGAACTTTCAACGATAAAAGAGACTTGAGGGAAGCTACCAGAGCTGTTTCTCCTCCACTTTGCCGCCTTCTTTTCGTTTTGGCTATGAACGATGGTAGGCAGGGGTGTTGGCGTTTTCCTCCTCTTTGCCTTCTTTCTTTTCGTTTTGGGTGTCAACAATGGTGAAACAAGGGTGATTTACAAAAGAGGGGTGAGATGAAAGAAGGGTAAGTAAGAGAAGAGAAGATTGAAGAACGAGAGGGTGCAGAATGATTGGAAGGGAGTGGGCGCAAAGAACCAAAAGAGGAAGGCAAAAGGTACAAGAGAGTGAAAGAAGAGAAGGGAACGAGAGAGAGAAAGGAAAGAAGGGAGAGGAGTAGGGAGCGGTAGAGCGAGGAGAGAGAGGTGAAAAGGGAGGAAGTGAAACCAAATCGAGGAGATAAGAGGAGAGCGGGCAAGGGAGGGCAATGAGAGAGAAAAAGCGGTTGATGAGAGAAAGAAGAAGGCTGAGAAGACGGAGAGAGGCCAGAGAGAACGGACGACAATAGCGGAGAAGAGGGAGACGTCACACGAACCGAAGGGCGGAAGGAGAGAAGGGAGAGAGAGAGGAGAAAGAGGGGAGAGGAAGGAGAGGATAAAAAAGGTACGTGAGGGAGAAGGAAGAAGCGAGAGGGGAAAAAAAAAAAGACGGGAGAGAAGGAAGAGACAAAGAGGAGGAGGAAACAGGACGAAGAGAAGCTAAGAGAGAAGACAGTAGAAGACAAAGGAAAACCGTAGTAGGTAGGGAAGAGGGATCACAAAGAACAGAGGGCGGAGGGAGAAAGGGAGAGCGAGAAGAAGAGAGGGAGGAGCGCATAGAAAAGCAAAAGGTGGGCAGGAAGAGAGGGAAGAAGCGAGAGAGAGAGGAGGAGGAAGAGATGAAGACGAGAAGAGAGAAGAAAGAGAGGCCAGGAGAGGAGGCAGGACGACAGACAGGAGAGGACATACGAGTCGGGAAGTTGTAAGAGGAGCAAGGTAAGAATTGATGGAACGAAACGGTAAGAGCTTGATTATCAGATCGGGGATGGAGAATGCAGGACGTGGAAAAGACAATAACAGAACCGGAGAGGAGAAAGAGCTAAGAAATTTGAGCACAAGCCGAGTCAAACGATTAAAATTGGGAACCAAAAAAAAAAAAAAAGAGGGGAGAAGGAGACGACAACGGGGTAAGGAAGGCATGGGAGAGGAACGAGAGATGCGGGAAATGAGACACTGAGGGCATATACTCACACTGGCACTTTTAGTACATGCATCCGACTGCAATTACGGCCTGACCTATATGCATGTGACCGTAATCACGTCCAGAGCGAAGTCAAAAACGTCCTAGTGTGAATATGCAGCTAGAGAGATCACGGAATCGCTAACGACATAGGATTCAAGACGTGAGGGGAGGGGAGGGGGTGAGAGGAGAGGATGAACTAACGTCACCGGTGCTAGCGGATATCCTAAGCGGAGAGAACCTACCGTCTTCAACCGAATAGAACGCCCGGTCATTATAGCCGTATTTGGCTCAACTTTCAGGCCAGATACGGCGATAATTACCGGGCGTTCTATTCGGGTGAAGACGGTAGTTAGAAAAACGGGACACGTAAGAACTGGGAGGTGAAACTACCCGTCTTCACCTGAATAAAACGCCCCCCCGGTCATTATCGCTGTAATAACTGGACTGAAAGTTGGCCCCATCATTATCATCGCTGTCACTAGACTGAACTGAACGTTACCCCCAATACAGCAACAATAACGACCGGGCGTTCTATTCGGGTGAAGACAGTAGACAGCAGACCGGGAACGGGGAACGGGACACTGACAGTCGGGGCACGCGGCCACATAATGAAGGGGAGAGGAACAAAGCGCGCCAAATAACGCTCTCAGCAGAGAGCATGTTCAGCGGAGAAGGACAGACTGCGAAAGGCACCACCAAGGCACAAGCCACTCATGGAGAGACCAGGTTCAGAGACCAGGTTCAGAGGAGAGAGAGAGAGAGAGAGAGAGAGAGAGGATTGAGCTACACACAAAGAAACAAGGCGGGAGCTGAAACTCGTAAAGAGAGGACTGAGCTACAGACAAAGAAACAAGGCAGGAGGTAACAGGGGGGGGACAGACTGAGTCAGAGGGAAGGGAGAAGAGGAGAGTAGGTGGGTAGGTGGATCAGGGGAGGAGAGAGAGATGGTGAAGGAAGGAAAGGAGAGGAAGTGAGGAATATGAGCCAGGGGGAAGATGGAGAAGGTGGGAAGGAGAATCACGAGGATCGAATAGGGAGGACAAAAAGAGCGCGCCAGAGAAAGGGAGCGCATCAGAGAAAGGGGCCGATAAACACAGGAACAACGGACGGCGGAGATGAAACAAAGGGGGGGGCTCGGTCTAATGCAGAACACTCTGCAAGTATCTGGACCTCATAAACGTCCCGATGCGTTGAAAATGCTCGGTCTAATGCAGAACACTCTGCAAGCTCTGCAAGCTCTGCAAGTATCAGGACCTCATAAACGTCCCGATGCGTTCAAAATGTTGGCGGAGATGAAACAAAGGGGGGGCTCGGTCTAATGCAGAACACTCTGCAAGTAACTGGACCTCATAAACGTCCCGATGCGTTCAAAATGTTGGACTCGTCCGAATGCATAGAGGCCAGAAAGCGTTCCAAATGCATGAAGAATGTTGAGTAGTGGAGCGAGGCCCCAAGGTGAACCGACGATGAGATAGATAAAGGTAATAGGTGAGAGAAACGGATTCAATTGCAATAGCCACTGAGCGTAAACAGACTCTGGCAAATTGGGAACAAGACGTAGGAAGATAGAGAGGAGAGGGGAGGGGAGGAGAGGGGGACGCCGCCAAATAAAGAAAGACACGCAGGAGGAAGAGAGAGAGGGGGGGAGGGGGGGAGGGGGAATGGCGAGGAGATAGAGAGAAGGGGGAGGAGAGAGTGAGAGGGGGGAGAGGAGAGAGTGAGAGGAGGGAGAGGAGAGAGAGAGAGAGAGAGTAAACCGACAAGGTAGAAAACGGAATGACGAAGGGGAAATGTGCACGAAAGTGCCACGTGGCCGAAAAACTCGCTACAGATATGATACGGAAAGATGACGTGAGGATATGAGAACGAAAGAGGCATACCGGAAGTGGAAACAGAACGCGAAATGATAAAGTCTAAGACACCTGTAAGGGCTTTGCAAAATCTCTCTCTCTCTCTCTCTCTCTCTCTCTCTCTCTCTCTCTCTCTCTCTCTCTCTCTCTCTCTCTCTAAAGAAGCAGCAAGATGAAAGAATGAAAGGCGAGAAGGGAGGGAGGGTGGGGAGAAAAGAAAGGTCAGGCGGTGAAGAGGGAGGACAATGAGGAGAAAAGAGAGAGAAAAAATTGATACAAAAATTTATCAACACACATATACGTATCATATATATCGTCAAACAGAGCTGCACGGTAAACCGTAGGCAGAGAGAGTATAAATATATTGTATAAATATATATAGATAGATATATAACCCCCCCGCCTTGGGGATTTGTCTCGCCGGAATTGTCTCTATGATAAACCAATGACTTCGGCACATATCAGAGAACTGCCCGGTGAACTATAGGCAGTGGGTGGTCCCCACCTCAGAGTAGGATAAGAAACGCGAGGCTGCTGCGGCTGACTGTTCCGTCGGAGTTTCATCAACTCTTCAGGAGGCTGAACCCTGTATATACACCTCAGAAGGCAGTGGGTGGTCCCCACCACAGGGGAGTCCTCAGAAGGCAGTGGGTGGTCCCCACCACAGGGGATAGCTGCTGTGGGGCAGCGGTTGATAGCCAAACCCCATTCAGATCAAGGTAGATTACCTTATCCTATCTTAGCCTCTTACAGTATCATTAAGCTGTTAGGAGAGTCTGCAGACTATAGAGGTCTCAGCCTCTCCTGATTGATGAGTGAGTCGATGAAACTCACACCCCCGCGTTTCTTGTCCTTTTCTCCCTTCTGCCTACGGTTCACCGGGGCAGTTCTCTGTGACTGTATGCACCCATTCCAATCCTCTCAAAGAGCAACAGAGGAGGAGAAGGAGGAGGAGGAGGGGGAGGAGGAGGAGGAGGAAGGGCTTTGAGAAACAGGCTGTTCCTGCGCAAAGAGAGGAATCTGGAGAAGTGCAAAATATCAGGGCCACACGCACACGTCCTCTCCAAAGAGGAAGGTCAACGGCGGGAAAACGCGGGAAGGCAAAACAAAACAGGGGCACACGCACTAGTGCGCATACACACACATGCGTTTTATTCAAGGGAACAATGGTAGTAGCGGGCGTCTTTAACCAAAACTCTCTCTCTCTCTCTCTCTCTCTCTCTCTCTCTCTCTCTCTCTCTCTCTCTCTCTCTCTCTCTCTCTCTCTTGCGCGAGGGAACACTGTACTAGCGGGGGTGGTCGCCCCCACGTGCGTCCCTTCCTTCTTTCTCACGCCGAGGGAAGAGGCTCTCAACTGATAGGCGAGGAAAAAGGTCATCGATGCTCTCTCTCTCTCTCTCTCTCTCTCTCTCTCTCTCTCTCTCTCTCTCTCTCTCTCTCTCTCAGACACACACACACACACACACATACTTGAATCCCGACTGACACGGTGATTATGGACGACATGGGAGCAGTAGGTCGGGTATTTACCATTTTCTCCGAACATAACGAACGGTCATTATCACTGTATTTGGCGCAACTTTCAGTCTAGATACAGCGATGATGACCGCACGTTCAATTCGAGGGAAGACAGTGGGGAGGATATCTCATATGAAGGTATACGTTCCAGAAGTGGATGAACAGACGTGATCGTACGGAAAGAAGCGCCCGCTGTGATGACCAGGAGCTCCATTCGAATCCCCTCATTTCTCTTCTTATTTCTATCATCATTCTCTTTTTTTCAAATGCTTGTTACTTTGGTCATCCGGTTGAATCGGGATTCGAACTTGGGTCTGTATTTCACCAGTTCATGGGTGTACCAACTGGGCTACAGTCTTCCCCCGAATACAACATACGGTCATTATAGCTGTATGTAGACTGAAAGACACCCCAACTTCAGCTATAATGACCGTACGTTTTATTCGGGGGAAGACTGTAGGCCCTATTTTCTATCATCATTTAAACAGAGGGTCGTTCCATTACCCGCCGCTTGTGAGATCGACGTACCAACTTCCGCTGTGACCTCCAAGCCCTCCCCCTAACACCTATGCCAACATCTTCACACACCCAAAACTCTCTCTCTCTCTCTCTCTCTCTCTCTCTCTCTCTCTCTCTCTCTCTCTCTCTCTCTCTCACACACACACACACACACACACACGCACACGCACACACACGCACATACACACGCACACGTATTTCGTTCAGTTTCTCTCAAATGCATCCCATCTTCTTCCCCACCACCAACTTTTCCTTCCACCTCTTTTCTCTATCCCCTTTTGTGTTCCAACCCTATGCCACCTCTCTCACATCTTGCGCCAAGCCCTCCCTCCCCCTTACAGCTTAACCAACAACTCCACGTACTGAAGACATGCCAGACAGCTCGCTAGAAACTCTTCAGTATCGCGCTAAACGCACAACTCTCTCTCTCTCTCTCTCTCTCTCTCTCTCTCTCTCTCTCTCTCTCTCTCTCTCTCTCTCTCTCTCTCTCTGTGCGTGTGTGTGTGTGTGTCCCGCGCGCGCGCGCGCGCACAGATATTTCGGCTCAGTTTCTCTCAAATCCATGTCCCATTTTCTTCCCCACCACCGATTTCCTCCCCCAACCTAGTACGTTTATGCACTGTGTTCTACCCCCCTATGCCGCATCTCTCCCACCTCTCTCCCGCCTCGCTTCCCGTTTCTCACTACGGCTCTTTTAAAGGGGTCTGCCTGAAACTACCGCCAACAGACACCCACCTGCCGCCTTCTTATCCATCTTTACTGCCACCACGCCGCCTCTGCCTTACTCCCACCTCCCTCACACGGTACCTTTTCGTAAAGGAATGCATGCACGACAACGGACACCCACCTTTGTTCCAATTCCACTGACACAGAATACATTACGACAGGCAAGGGGACACAACCTGATAGAACGAGGGTACCAGGGATAGACGATGGAAATGGCGGGAAAGAGGAGGAGGTGAGTCATCACAGCTGCGGGGGAAGGCGTTCCCGCCAAATGGATAGAATTAAGGTTGATTCATGATGAGCTGGTCATGATGAGCTGGTCGAGAAGACTTTCCCGCCAAATTAATACGCGTGAAGATGCGGAGACCGTAGACAACAACGTCAGACGCTTCCCGCCCTTTTCCCCCCTTCAAGCAAAAGGCCGGGAAAGAAGGAAATAAAAGGCCAGGAGCGGGAAACAGAAAAGGGCGGGAGAGAACGAATCGAGATGGCGGGAAAGAAGCGGCCATGAGTTCGAATCCTCACGGCATCGAAAGGGCGGGAAAGAAGCAAGCGAGAGGGCGGGAAAGATACAGAGCAAAGGGGAGCGCATACCCGCGAGAGGGGTGAAAAGAGAGAGGGGTGAAAAGAGAGACGAGAGAAGACATTGAGCAGAAAAACACCAAAGAAAAGAGGAGAGAAGAGACGGTGGATACAGGAGAAAGAAGGAGGAGCAGTGAGGGGTAAAAAGGTAAGACAAAGGGAAAGAGGACGAAGAAGAGATGAACCAGCAACGATGCGGAAGAAGAAGGTAGAGGGGTGACACATCAGCCATTGAGAGAGAGTGAAGGAAACACAGGAAAAAGAACAAAGGTATGAAACAACAAAGAACTAACACCAGAAGAAAAAGGAAGAGAAGGGGAAAGGCTGATACCAAGACGAGCGGAGAGCTGATGATGATCATCCGACAAGAAGAGAACTTATTCAAATTATATGTGGTGGAAAAGAGAAAAAGGATTCACTCAAAGAAAAAAGGCACGTGGGACACAGCTTACCTGTTTGCCCGCAGTGTCGACGAGGACCGTTGCTGCCGCCCTCGTTCCATCGCTTCTGACAGGTCTGGAGGGGGAACCGTTCTAATTGCCAGTCCTCAATGAGATGACAAAAGAGACCCAAGGGCGACAGGAGGTGGCGCGGGGAGGCGGGGGGCCATAGTGAGAGAGAGAGAGAGAGAGAGAAGACGGAGGGACAAGCTAGGGATGGTCTGCACAATAATAATTAACGAGCAAACGGTCCAAGTCCCCCGAACAGTGCTCAGAGAGGATCGAGATGGATACCGAAAGCGGAGTCGGGTCCACCTAACAGAGTCGACAAAACCCCGGAGACAGTTTCTCAATCCGACAACAGCGGGAAAGCAGACCGGCGAGGGGAAGGCGGCGGGGGGAAGCGGAAACGCCACCGTGCGACCCGATCAGCGGATCTTAATTACTGTACCATACCCCCTTGTTCCCGTTGCTAAATTCCCCCCACTCCTGTCAATCAATGTGAAATCGAGCACGCTTTACTCACAAGCGCTTGATTACGGGCCACCTCCGTTGGCTGATCAATGCAGTCAATCCATACAAAATCGCGCACGCCTTGCTCACAAGCACTTCATCACACGACACGTCGGTCGGCTGATCAATGCAGTCAATCAAGGTTAAACGGTTCCCGCTGTTTTCGTCTAACGGTTTCCCCGTCCGCAGACTCGTTACTCGATTGGCGAAGCCTGTATTTCCTAGCCACCGAGGGCCATGCTTCCACGCGCACAACTATCGTCCAGGCCACATAAGGCCCTGTGGACTGCAAGCCCTGCGATCGGACGGCCGATAATGACTCTGTCAAATCGGCCGATGGGAGCAGGGTGCCCCAAGGGGTTTAGTAGTTGGCAGCCCTAAGTCTGCGGGATAGTGGGGTTCAGCGTCTGTGTTTGCAGACCCCCTCTGCGCAGCCTGCCTTCTGTGGTCGCAGGCCTAAGGGCTGCGGTGTGGTGCGGTCCGCCGTCTGTGTCAAGGTGCCCGGATTTTGGCGGTGGACGACCACTGCCAAATTGTCTACCACGTGGGCGCAGGGAACACAGCCCTAAGGTAGCCAAAGCAATGGGTCTAAGCACGTGCACAAGAGAGAGAGAGAGAGAGAGAGAGGCCTACCGAAGAAAAAGAGAGAGGGAGAGAGAGAGAGAGTGGTTGAATGACAAAATTGGAATATGGGTCAAATTGTGACAGCGATTGGGAGGAAGAGGGCTGTCCAAAAAAAAAAAAAAAAAAAAAGG